TATATATATCTCTGGCTTGTTACAGCATGCCTTTTATGTAATATCACTGAATTGTTACTACTTACTTTTTTGCTTCTCATATATGACAGCCGTCCCTCATGAGCATCAGGGTAAGTGCAAAACAAGTATGTAGTGATGGCATGCTTTAAAAACGAATCACCAAGCATTTCTAGCCGCTCCAGATTAAATCCATCGCTAGCATTTGAAAGAGTCAAAGCTTGAAGAATGAGACCAGGGTTAGGACCGAGAGTTTTTGAGGAGTACCCACTGGAAGGGTTCTTTTCAGTATCTGCTCTGTCTTTTGAAATATTAATAGCTTTTGAAGTACTGGTGGTCACTGCCATTTTGGGGCATCCATCTGAGGTAGATCTGTTAGCATTTCCATCAAGGTATTTATTACTCAGTAGAGTACATTCATTGCTGGGCTTGGGCTGGTTCTCACTGCTGTGTAAATTCTGAATGGGATATGAGGTAGTTGGTTGTACAGGTATTTCCTGCCTGCAGTAATTCAGCTGATTTCCTTGGCAAAAGTCTCTGTTAACTAAATCACAATTGCCATTGGCAAGGTTTTTATTGTAAGAAACACCATTAATTGCTGCAAGTTCTGCCGAGACATCAATTTGGAGTTTACTGGGTGACTCATTGAGCAATGTTCTGTAACTCACAGACATTTGGTCATGGTTTTCTGCAGAAGAGGTTCTGTTAGCACCTTGATGTGCAGCATTTTCAGGGACTACAATTGTGCTGTGCTTACAGTAATTTTCATTCTCTACTAAAGAGGAGTTAGGAATAGAGATGAAGGATTTGCTGTCAATAGACTTTTTCCATCCGAAGTCCAAGTTAGGATATCTGTAAAGATACATGCTGATTTTGTTAAAAAAGTAAGTATCACAAGACAGGAAAACTATATGCACATACATGTTTTAAAAAAAGCCATGTTCTACTAACTTCACCATTCACAATCAAGTCTTTTTAGACTACGTTTCACTGAAAACTGACATGAGTTAAACAAAGGGATTCAGTTTTAAGTTCATGGCAGTAATGGTCTTCGCTTTGTTTTCCAATGAAGTCAGATATCATAGTGAAAAAAATACATGCCTGAAATCTGCAGGAAGTGATTTAACCCCTACACCAGCATCAGTGGCTGTCTGAGCTCTTAGTTCCTCTGCTGTCAAAAGGCAGTGCAGGCGATAAAGTATGCTGGGGAGGCAAACTGCTTTTCTCCACAGTGATGCTGGAATAGGATGTATCGCACAGAGCTCTGGAACCAGTATCTGGGGAGCGGAAAGGGGAAAGAAAATCATTTTACCTGTAAAGGCAGTCGTCAGAGCACTCTCATGAGATAGGCGACTTGAATTAGATACTTCTCTTTTACCTGCTTATTCTGCAAACTTTCCCACTTTGCTTTCCTCTTCTCAGCACTGCTCAGTGGAAGTGCTTTCCCCTTCTGATTCAAATGGCGAGGAGTCAAAAGATTAAGTCTAAAAAACATGTGAAAATACTTTAATGTAAGTACATGCTTAACGAAAAGAACTTACTAGCCTAAACTTTCTAAAGTGCTAATTTAGTATAAAGCTGTAATGCTTTATGAAGTGACAGCACAGTTATCTCTGGAAAAAAAATGGACTTAAGATATAGTTGTTATAATGTATGTTAAATACTCCTCAAGAAAAATATCATTATTTTGGAGGTCACAGGCCCTCAGCTTTATCCCTAATTCAAATCAAACAAAAGGCACTTTATTGCCAAACTACAAACATTAGACACAACTATGACTGTTGTTACCTTGAAGATGTGTGGTCCACATCCAGCAGCGGCTGGTTGAGATTGGTCAGGTCAAGATTATATTTTGTTTTATAATATTCAGCAAAAGTTTCATATTCAGGGGAAGGGAATTTACTGAGTGGAGTAAGATCAGTGTATACATCAGCTACATAGAATCGATGTGGCTGATCAAAATTTCGATACCTGAAAAAAGATAACATAGGGAATAATTAGTCTCCACAAAAAGTCTCCACAAAAACTACCAATTCTGGAGAACCTTTGCACATCCACTACATAAAATGATAAATTTTTCCTCTAAATACCACTCAGTAGAAAGATTCTTTTAATTGGTCTTTTTCATTTGTTAATTTTTCCATCTACAAATAGCATATCTCCTTTAGCAGGCCTGTGGTGCCAATAAGCAGTAACCAGAGAACACAGTTCTCACTCAATCTTCCAAATTAGAATTGGTTTCAGTAGGCCAGTTCTTGAAGTCACCATGTTTAATCAGAACACCACATCAGTTTTGGTGTGAACTCTACCATTCCTAATAAAAAGGTAATGAGTCTTGGGAGGTCTAAACATTTAAATCATACTATATAAGATTAGCTATTAACTACAAAATAACTTTAAATTATTTGAGATGTCACTGTACCTTCAGATTAACAGCACGCATTTCTTACAAGCAATTCTGCTGCAGATACTAACATGTTCTTATTAAAAGTGTTTGTATAAATACAATAGGTACAAACCTAACGTATGTATCCAGTACTCACCGTGGAATGATAACCGCATCCTGGTAATCTTCTAACTTGAAAATAAAAGGCATTTCTTTTGTATATTGTGTACTGGGAATGCCTGTACGCGCCTCAGATTTCTCTATGTCTTCCATAAACTTAAAGTCAATGTCCAAAGTGCTGGAGTCATCAACTTAAAAAAGGAAAACGCATAACTTGGTTATTCAAGGGAGATTTTCCACGCTGGGCTTTCCTGGGAAGTTGTAAATTACAACTTTTTTTTCTATACATACATTTCATAATTCAAAAAAAAAAAAAATTAAAAGGAGACATACACGATTTTAGAGCCTTATGGGAGCTGAAACCTCCTCTAAGTCAACTCAATCACCAAGTTAAAGCTAATTTGGAATTGTGAAGAAGTAATAAAAATAACTACCACAAATGGTATTATTTCTACAGCTAACACTTGAAATGTAACACAAACATTAACAAATGTACTGCTAAATGTGTATTTAAAGTGAGTATTTAAAAAACAAGAGCTCTGCTCTTACCAACATTAAGAGGTAGAACACAATAGGCTGAATCAGCTTCTGTGGGTTTGAACTCTAGTGCAGGTTTCTCGAGACGAAGAATATGTGAAAAAATGTACTGGTGGAGTCGCGTTATCAGCTCAAGCATTTGCAGAGACAGAGTAAAACCAGATTTCTTAAGTTCAATAGATATTGTAACCTCTCCAGAACGAGTATACACAGGAAAGTGAGGAATCTAAGTTAGAAAAAAAGAAAAACAACAAAAGAAATCAAGAGAGAAAATCCAGAGTAGGATTCCTCTACAGAGTACCGCTTGTTTACTACAGATACTGAGGTAGCACTTGTCTGATCCCACAGCAAACTGCATCGAACTGGAGCAGAGTTTTGACCTTTTATGACCTTCAATTACATACAGGATTTTGAAGGCCTAACGAATGATATTTAATAGCTCTTGTGTTTTACAGCTCTTGTCTTTATATAAGATCAAGTAAAATTTGACATCTTTTTCATTATGGAGGAAGAAACATATAAACAAGCAAACTGCCAGAAATGCCACCTTCTGTGGACAACAGAAAATAAAATGAAACAAAATCTTCCTCAGCTGAGTCTCATTCCCAGAAAATGTCTTTCTATTCAAAATTTCCCTAAGCAAGAGGTGCCAATTTCAATTAACATGGCCTACTTCTGCTGCAGACACTGAAATGCCTTGTCACTACAGCTTTTCTATAGATAAGGCAGTGCCACAGGCCATCACTCTTATTGTACCTTATACAAAAAAAGGAGGAACATTTTGAATTTGCCACTGCAAAATAGTAAAAAATAAAGCTGCAAAACAACAGTTTGGAAAAAAATATAACAGATGGTTCTATCACTAAGGACAGAAAATGAGGTGGTGACTGGACTGGATGGGTATGATTGCTTATTTTCTGGAGGTTACTTGATACAAGCAGCACTTATGGTCATTTCCAACTCTTCAATCTGGGGGTGGGGAATAAACGGAAAATGACAGGTTGCAAGGCAAGTACAAGAAGAAGAGGTGCTAGGTGCATTACCTGAGGTATAGGTTTGGCTGTCAATATGCCAAAACATCTTGTTGTATCCTCAGGAGGATATAGCTTTCGTCTCCTGAAGTTGAGCTCATCAGGTAGAGGAGTCGTTAACACCATCCCTATTACATACAAGTAACAGGGCTGGTCAGGTTTGGGGTAACTATCCCTCAAACATTCTGGAATCTAAAAATTATAAATAAAAAAAAAGAAAACATTAACATGGTAAAAATCAGCAAAATTCACCTAAGGACTATTCTTTAAACAAGCCTTCACATGTTTATTGGGAACACATCTTCCTATTTGCCAAGAGGCACCTTCCATTACCTCTCTAAATTGTCTCTGTATCTACCCTGTGGCAGAAATGCAAATCAAACTGTAGAACACAGACCATAAATACCATAAATGCTTCACCATAAATATCACTGCAGTTTTGACGCCAGTTTCCATATTTAGCCAGTAACTCTAGAGCGCACTTTACACCCAAGGTCTTTGAACCTTAACAGTAGAAGAAAAAACGAAAACAAAAAACGTGCATGCACAGGAAAATCCCTGCACCCCAGAAATCCAGCTTCTTGGATTGGCTTGGCTGAACTTACAGCTTCATTAACAATGAACCTTTTCCTCAACAGAACTGTTGAAAACTATCAAAAATGTTTTTTATACACTTGGTACAAACACAAGATTTGCTACACTGCCCCTTTACCCAGGCACTACAGAAGTTTTCTAATAGCAATTCTAGCTCACAGATGTGAATACTCACAACAGCTACAAGCATTTTGAAACTCTGCTGCTTGTATTTGTCATAGACCTTAGGAAACTGTGTTTTATGTTTGGTAGGAGTTCATTACTTTATAGGTCTCACAAATGCTCCTCCTGTTTATCTAAACCTAAATTGCACTACATGTAGTCCTGGATTTTAAAGTTACGCTGTAGCAAAACGATGGCCTTGGCTCAATGGAAAATTACTCATAAGTTTAATAACTATATTAAGCCCAAGAGGATCTTGTAGACCTTAAACAGTTGCCAAAGCCTCTTTTCCAGATGTGTAAAGTTGGGACAAAAGCAAGGGAAAGTATTCTTGGATTCTGTATTAAAAAAACAACCAAGAAAAAATGATGCATCACTTGACAAATCAACTCCTCTGAATGAGAGATACCATAATCATGCGTTTTATGAGTCACCCCTATTCCAAAAATCACTAGTGAGGTAAGAGGACTGAGAAAGGCGCTCGTAACAAGAAGCACCAAGAAACACTGTGCAAAGACTCTTTGTGAAGTTTCTTATCTCCATTTTCTCTTCTTTTTGAAGTATTTGGCATTCCCCTATAAATCCCATTTAATTCTACAAACTGATGTGGCTGAAACCTGTTGTGACAGATCTGTGGATAAGTCACTTATGAACGCAGAGCTGTAATGAGTATCTTACATTACACTTTTAGCATATTAAGTACAATATTTAGAACTATTTTTAAAGTAAAAAAAATTAAAAAGTATATTTATTTGGTATTGTAAGATTTAAACCAAAAATTATGGAATTCTGTATTTGATCGGTAAAGTCAACAAACTAAACCAAGCACAAAACAAAAAACAAACAAGCAAAACTGTCTGTGTTTAGCATCTGGCAGATAACTTTGACCCCTTGGGCATTTCCTTCAATCTTCAAGTATTTGTCTAGAAAGCCAGTAATTCTTCCTTTGCTCTAGTATATTTACCACAGAACTCAAAGTTTTTACAGCTTATTAGTGCAGGACAATTTTTCCTGATTATTAGTATTATACTGGGCAAATACAGTCAAGAAGCTTTAGAGAAACTACATTCTTTGAACTACAGGCACGTTTCCTGAGCATATTCAGGTAAAGGTGCAAGTTTCCATGCAGTTAAAATTGCAAGGTATTTCCACTAGAAATGCAAGATGTATCAGTGAAGAGTTGGCAATTTCATCTTCTTATCAGTACACGAAGCGTTTGCAGTGAGTGATACTAACAGCTTTAGGATAGCACTGTCTTCGTTTTGTAGAGCCTGGCCTTCCTGGAACACTGGTTTCTTCCTCATCGTGTAAATCCAGCTCCTCCTCATATTTAACCGTTTCTTTACCAACTGGCATCAAATGATCATCCAGTTCACCTGAATATTATAAGAGGACAAAGAAGTAGCGTCATGCACATAAAACCTTGTCTTCTTCAGATGCTACGCAGTAGATGTGATTGCTCATGGCAACACCTCACCTAAGTTCTTAGACTATACTTAGTACTGCAAGGCTTCAAAAGTGTAACTTTGGGGAGTGACATTGAATTTTTGTCAAAATACTTATTTATAGTAAAAATCGCTGAAATTTTAATCTAAAAAAAATTCTATGATGAAAATATCAAAGAAAAAGAGACTCTTCTTTTCACCATAAAAAACCACCAGTGACTGAAATACTAATTTAAAAATCACTCACGTGGGAGCTATGCCAAGAAAGAGAACAGTTACATTCCTGTATCATTCTAGAAGGGGAATTACTACTGTTGAATGTGCACTCTCAACACTGAGCTGAGCCATCAGGGTGTTATTCTTGGATACATTTATTGGTATGAATTCAGTGATCAAATGTTTTAAATCAGACAGGAGAAAAAAAAAATACAAACCCCAGACCTACAAACGTTTTTTGCTTAAAAGATACATAAATACTTCTGTACTTCATCAAAGCACCCCTAACACTCCACAACAAAGAATATGCTCCATTATACCTTATAAGAGACAGGAGAGTTGAAATACTCCTGCAATGTCCTATTTTTGGAATGTTACTTATGATACAGTAGAGAGTACAATAAATTTAGGGCTGCCCATTTTAAATTCTAATTTGTTAAAATTCACTTTAAAAAAACACGTGCTTTTTTGGCTGCAGGATGTAGCCCCTGACTCATAATCAAAAGCTTCTAGAGAACAAGACCCTTCTCCCCTGTATTAAGTATATTCAATGCCAAAATTTGTGTGCCTTCTATTAACATTGCATTTGCTGTTTAAGAAAAAAACATATTAAGTAACAATATTTCCCTGAAAAATTTACCTTCAGCTTACCAGGTGTAAGGTGTATTAGTAAGTACACAATCATATCACAAAACAAGGCAAGAGAAAGGAAGCTACAATAGATGGCTACAGCAGAAATGTGTAACATCTGTACCATGTCCAGTTTCTCAATTGTAAAATACTCATTACCAAAGAGGTGTTGCTTTTCCAGTCCTTACCAATTTTGTGCAGTTTTTCACAGCAAATAAGAGCTACAACTCTCTCAGCCAGTCTTGCACAACTCATTGGAGGACCCTATGAAACATTTAAATAATTCTTAAAGACTTTGGTTGATTAGCACATTAACAATCATACATTTTACAATTAGTTTAATTTAACACAAATGTATTAAGTAAAATTACACTGACGATAGCTTTCTGAAGATATTCAGGCTTTTTTTTTTTTCCCAAAGTTTCTGAACTCAATGTACTGTTGATCAAAACCAATAAAGGACATTTTCCTACAACTAATACATAAATGTGTGAAAAACCAAGACACTGGTAAGAATACCTGAATATTTTTGCCTCTGGAATAAACAGCAATTGCCAGAAAACATACTACAGCGAATACAAACAGGTATCGAAATACAGTTACAGAGCACAACACAGGAAAAGAAAAATCACCTATTTTCATGAAAAACAATGAAACCAATTCTAGAAATGGCACAGACGCATCTATACCAACATAATCACTTATTTCCCTGCTTTACCTTCCCCAGATACTTACAATAATCGATGCTCGAAGAGGCGAGTTGATTGGCAGGTAGAGAGTAGAGTAAAATGTATGATCAGGTAGTTCTCGGGTTTTACACTTGGGAGCTAGGTGCGTGAACGGATCACTTGGTAATCTAGCGCAGTACCTAAATGGACAAAACATTTTACAAATCATCAAAACCTGCAAATTGAAACCTCCACACATTTCAATGGAGTCTTGCTTTACTCATGTAAATATTAGAGAAGATTATTTCAGGCCATACTGAGCACTGAAAGGGTACACTGACTCATATTCAACTGACGGCTGAGCAGAAGACCTCCAAGTGCTTTACTACACAGCAGGTCTGTAGTAAGTTGGTCCCAAGGTTGTAAATGCACAAGACTATTCCATCGCAGGTACCAGAGTTAGCATTTGCCTTTGTTTAATCTCCTGAATTTACTGTTGTGCTGTTGCTATTACAAACGTGAATATTAGAACTGGAAGTTTTTACTGCAGTTTTAACAAGCTGCTTTTTTTTTTTTAAAGCTACGTTGTCAAGAGCTGGTTTGTCAAAAAGAAATCTTACCACTCATTTTGAAACAGAATGCTTTCAGAGCAGCTTGTATTTAAACTGGGATCACTACCACTGAATTTATTATCAGAGCTAGAACCTCTGTGGGATAAAGAGAAAAAAAAGCAAATCATTCCTTCAAATGAGAAAATCCTGTCAAGATTCCTATGAAGAAATGTGCACAATGCCCCAGTCCATGTTTCCATGTTGCAAGACAAAGAAAGTTTTTATTCAAAGATGTAAAAAAAGGAATTTGCTTCTTACCTATTAATATGTCCAATAGCAGTGTTAATAGTAACTCTCGGACTGTTCTCATCTGGCCTCAACACATAGGGTGGAAACACATCATCGTCGTCAACAATGGGTTCAGTTTCGGTTTCATTGGCATCAACAGATTTTGAGCATTTGTTTCGAAGGATCTTAAAATTTCAGGAAGAGAACGTGATGAGAGATTTTTCCCTTAAAAAATACTATGATAAATTTAACAAAACCAGGCACGTTCCTTTGATGTCGTACCTTCTCGATTGCTTTGTATGTCTTCAGATCTTCTTCAAAGCTTTTGATTTTGTCTGTATCTGCTAACATGATGTAATTGGAGATGGGTGCTCGAGCTCTGCCTTTGGACTGCACGTAGGAACGGTATTCTGTGGGCAGATCAAAACGCACCACCAAGTTGCATTTTGGTATGTCAACACCCTCTTCTACAATACTAGTAGCAATAAGTAGATTGGTCTCATGTGCTCGAAATTTTCTAAGAACCTGCAAAGGTAATGAAGACAAATTGGAGAGATCAGTCTGAGACCTGTTTCCATCATCAGATCATCAAAAGCCAATAAAAACAAGGAGAGTGGACCAGACATTCCAAAAACTTGTATAAATATGCAGACATAAAGCTATTACAAACAAAAAAATCTTTTCAGAAACACAGTAAGACTGTTTATCAGAACAGGCAGATTTCTAGGAATCAAACGTGGTATGGGGAATTACATGAATCCAAGAAGCTACCACAGCCAGTAGCAAAGGAGAGGATCACACCTATTTATTTACAATTTTTCAACTATAGTCTAAAAAAACATGCTGCTTTCAGGACAGCATCTTTTCCAACCACTTCCAAGGTTGAAACATGCTCGGGGCAGAGGGAGAGCACATTCTAGAGCTGGTATTTCTAATATTTATACTCATAACTACGCAATAATAAGGAAAGCTTTGGAGTGCATGTGTGTCTGGTGGGGGGCAACCCAGCTGGAGGTGAGGGATCACTGCATTTGATTTGAAAATATCATGCGTGCTTTAAGTGAGGTCAAATTCATGGGGTTTTCTATTTGTATCGTTTAATGATTTACCAAATTCACTTTTGGCAAAGATAAATATCAAAACCAGCTTAACTGCTGAAAACGTCAGGAACCTTGATTTTCTTTATAGTATTACTGTACTAATGTAATCCAATGGAGAAAAAGTAGACGGCTGATGATGTGACTAGATCTAAACATGATTTTACATGAAGCTTTAATTTCATGTAATGTGACATAGCAATGTCTCTAAACATGCCATTTTTGTTAATGAAGAACGTGTGTATCTCCAGTGATTATGCATATCTGTTAAACCAAGGGTATTCCCTGACCTTCCAATGACTCTGCCTGTTGCTTTGTTTTGTTTTTAAAGACTCACACACAGCCACACAAAAAGATAAAACAAAAGGTTCTGAAGGTCCTGTTAGTTTCCATTATTTTTCTGGAAGCTACCTCTTCCTGTTTTCTGAATTCTACTTCCATCTGCTTGTTCCGAGGCTGGTTCTTGCCAATGCCATGTCCAGTTATAAAATTGCTACTGATGTAAGCCAGTTCTGGATCTTGCTTGCCAGCTTCTTTTATCAACCTAAAAATATTACACGTGTTTTTAGAAGTCACACAACCCAGAAAATTGAAGACAATCTTTTGTTTGCAAGACCTACATTAAAAGAAAAAATGGAAGCATGACAATTAAGCCATGCTAACACATGAACTGACTAAAACCACTGGTTTTCTAGTGAAAATCTCTGTAAAGATAACGAAAGACAGACTGCATGCCTATACTACATAAGCATGCATGCATCACACGCATTTCAGACCTATCATGGTAAAACCAGGTATTTTTAAACCAATCTATTTCTCTAAGGCTCCCTGTTGTTAAGGGACCCTACTCACAACTACAGTAGTTCATCTTATTTTCTGTAAATTATGACTGATTTTAGCAGAAAGACCTGTAAGTGCTTCCTCATAAAGTGTTTCCTCATTATAAGGTGATAATTTTTAGGTTAAAACATAGGTTTATTCTCCTTAATATTAAAAACTGTATTTTGTTCAGGTATACTAATGACAAAATGCTGACCTGTTTTTTGAAAGAGTGATGCTCAGCCTACCCAGTGAGATGTTTACTACTTCTGAAATTAAACTAAGTGTATCTACAGCTGGAGGATTTAATCCAGTTCTTTAAAAGGAACACTGAACAGGGAGGTGAGGATGCTCTCAGTTTATTCCCCGATGTCCTGTAGGTTACAGAAGCAGAAACACTGGTTTCTGCAGTGTTTTGACTTCATAGCCAAGGTAGAAGATTGTTCATATAAATAATGCACTGAATCTAGAACTAGGAATTTATGATTTAAGAGCATAATTACATTATGCAATCAATCCAATTACGCAAGAGCATGCTTAGTTGATCTGTTTTCACCATGGACAGAACCTGGGATTTCTCAACCATAGCAAGTTTTGGGGCAGCAGAGCCAATAAAAATCAAGGGATCATATCAAAAAAATAATTCACATCCCTTGCAAGTGTCACTATGGCCATCCCAGTACCACTCTGCTCCTAACACACCCACCGCGTGCATTACCAAGTGCTCCTCATATCCCAGGGACAGCCTGGCTCTGTGTACCTCCAAAATAATTCAAACCTTTCCCAATTACATCTCTGGCACTTCTGCTGTGCCAGTCCCCAGCTACAGGGATGAACTGTGAGCTGCTGCCAAACCAGATGGAAAATGCAAAAGTTCTCCCTGCCCTTTGAAGTCTCTTCCCTTTCCCTGGTCAATGTTTTAAACAAGATTTAGGGAAACATAAAACACATCGGAGACTTCCATCTTTTGCAGTCTGTCAGGACTGGAATGGACAGAGATTATAAGCAAGAGAATGGTAACGTGGCAAATAGCTTGGTATCCTAATGGAAACACAGGAGGATCCTCCTGTACTACAATGAATGTGATTTCTTAGTTCAAGGCTAAACAGATCCATGTTTCTGTGCGCAGTCTAGGCTCTTGGGACAGGCGTACTTAGAAAGTATGGGTTCATAACTACATAAAACCCCTATTTTTTAAAATATTTCTTTTTCCACATGATGTTTCTGTCAAGTCACACAGCTTCAGTTTGAGCACCCTACCAAGCATTACAGAAATGGACAATTAAAAACATCTGAACAAACATTTTGCTCAGGTCTTAAGAAACATTCAAGACTTCAACCTTGTGGATAAAAAAGCATTATTAGTGGTAGGTAACAGGTGGTGCTTTTCAAATAGACACAAAAACTGCTGCTTTCAGACCCCTCTCTAAGGCAGCTGAGAGGCACCGCAATGAGAATGGAAGGAAACTGGGCTTCAGAAAACATTTTCTCTTCTGAAAAGGAGCTTATAAAGAAATCAGATCTAATTACTGCGTCAGAAAATTCCTACCCATTTCTCCCAGAAAGTACAACACATGCCATGAATTCTGCCCTTCCTCAGCCAACATGAACTATGGACTTCATAAAATGGCATTCTGGTCTCTAAACATTACCACAATCAAATATATTTTAAGAAAAATGACATTTCTGCTTTAACTTAGTTCTGTTAAATGATCCAGGTATTTTGAGACCAGGTGGATGACATGAGGTAAAAGTGTTTCGAGACTCTGCTAGCCAGCTTTCAGAAGGGAGTAAAAAGTTACATATAGTTTTTCTATTTTGCTACCAATAAAGGTGCCTAAAGCTTAAAAATGGCAGAATTTGGTTACCTATTTGATCTACACACCATATTCTGTCAGGTTCAACAGCAGTTAGGATACAGTAGAGTGCATAAATCAGCCTACAAGTATGTACAGTGGAAAAAGAGTACATTTTAAAATCACACTCTTAACTTAGAGAAGAAAAAAAAAATCCTAATTCTGTTCTCTCCCTGTGGGATAATGAAATACTCACTTCGGCTCAGCTAAAATTTATCAGAATCTGTTAATGTGATTTCTTCAGGAGTTATTAACAGAGTATGTTCATTTCACTGAATGGCATATTTATGTAAACATAATTAAAGGAGAAGAAAAAAATACAAAGTTCATAAAAACACACAGGCAAGTGTGCAGATCAAAGATTCCATTATGACTACTGATCTGGGCAAAAATGGTAACAGTGGAAGGGTCAGATTCAGAGGTATCCAGAATGCAATGAACAAACTGCACAGGACACTTAGCACACTATCAAAAAATACCCAAAAAGACCCCAAATCAAGATAGGCGAATAAATCAGATGTCACTCATGGTTTGTGGAAAACAGCATTTAACAACTAAGTGTTCTGTATCACTAACACGGATCACATTCAGGAACAGAAACTGATAAGAAACTGGAGTACTGCTAAGTGTATCTTGGCAAATATTCCAGGGTTCATATTTTCCTTGGTGGAAACTGTAAGAAAGTGCTTAGTGTCTGGCTGAACAGGCCTTTTATAAACACCAACTGTTCAAGTAGCACTGGTAAATCTTAAAGAGATATTTGTGCAAGGGTAAATTTGATTTTCTGCGGACTTGGATCATATAATAATGTGATTCACTACGGCAATGGTAAAGTTTCCAGAAGCATTGCACTCAGCAGGTTAGTCTCCAGCACCCATTGCAAATATAAATTTAAAGTCTGATGAAGGCATATCAATATATGGCTATTTTACATTTTAAGTACAGTATTTCACATTTTGCCTTCTAAATAAATCAAACTATAAACTCAGGTCCAAAACAAGCCCTTGAGTACAATTTTCAAAGACTCCTGCTTTTCCCACCCATCCCATGCATACCTAGCCTGACTTGGTTTTTTGGTTATTCTTTACGCAGACCCAGCACGATCTCTTAAACCAACTTTAAGACAGAAAGTATATGACAATCCCTACATACTCATAATATTAACATTCATGTGCTGGCACCTGAGTCTGCCAGCTTCTTTTTCAAAATTATTTTTAAAATAAAAAGCTTTACCTATTTAGAACAACTGCCGTGTATCTTCTCTCCACAAAGATAATTCCACATAAAATATTAGTAAAGGGAGATGGGAAATTAGTCTCTGGCTTCTCTTTCTCCTCAATTTCTTCATCCTCATCATCATCTTCAGAATCACTCCAAGACACGTAATTATCCTGATTCCTATTGTTATACCACTCAACACTTTCAAACTGCTGCCGTTCATATGGTTTATATTTGCGCAAGATTTCAAGCAGCTTTATTACTTTTGGGGTTACAAATTTCAGGTCAAGTGAGGCAGGCGAGAAGTGCTCTTCACAGAGTGCATGTATTTTCCTTAGGAAAGTGTCTGTAAACAATAAAAATTTCCTGTGCAGCTCCTCTTGTTCGTGCTTGATATACTTCTGCAGCTCCCGCACCATCATCCCAGCTACCTTATCTGCACACCAGGGTCCCAGAACAACCAACACAGCTCGACAGTCTGACAGTATCTACAACAAATGAATTCAAGTATCAGTTCAAAGAGTACATTCATCAACTAGTCACTTAAGACTGGGATCCTGTTCCTCATATATATCAATGTTCCTCAATTTTTGCAAGGATTATGACAATTGTTCTACTAGAAAACTACTTACAAGTCTGCTTTTGTGATTTTGGTGACCTAAGATAATTATGCTAAAAAAGAGAATGTGTCTTGAGGCAGCTAGATTAACAAAGCAGAAATAAATATCCTTTATATTAAACATAGAATTAATAAAATAAATGCTTTACTAGGCATTTTTACTTTGTTTGTTACTGATACTTGCCAGGGTTTCAAAAGTACCTAAGTACCTAAGTTCAAAAGTACCTAAGCTGTACAGCAGCCTTAGGGTAACCATAGCAAGTCAAGCCTCTCAAAGGAAAAAAAAAATAGGGGTCTGTATGTGTGGGCGGAATAGGAAAACCAGAGAGAACTATACCCTACTCAGGGAGTACAGCCAGGAGTCCTTATATACTTCAGCCTATTTCATTTTAAGTTTAGCACAAAAGCAACCAGCTGTGATAGGCTGCCTTATGTAGCATCCTTCCCACTGGCCCAAATAATCTTTTTCTGCACAGCATCAGTGTGCTGGGTTTCTAAGAATGTTGTACCTCAGGAGCCAATTCCAAACCACAAAGCCCAAGAAGGGGAAAAAAAGCTGCTGGCACCCAGGGCCCCACATGTGACAGGTCTCTGCTCAATACACCAAGCCCTCTGGACTCTAGTCTGTCATCTCACACAACAACATAGGGACAAACACATAGAAAGGTAAGGGCAAGCTTGAGGTTCAACTTCCATTCCAGCAAGGTGTACATCTATGGCTGGAATTTTTGCCTGAATTCTTACTTTATCATCTTTTAATACAGCTGGGTACAGTTTTTCCAAATACTTCCCGAGGTACTATTTCCTCTTCTCTACTGAATTATTCAAAGGTCATGGGAGACTGCGAAGATGTCAAATTCTTGACTTCAGAAACAAGAGTGCACAACATCAGAGTGCAGAATTATTTCACTGCCTCAAGCGAATCTGAATGCAAGACTCCCAAACCAGATGAAGTTCTAATCAGTGGTTGACATTCAAGCCTCACTCATTTATAAGGAGATATATTGCACTATTAGTGAGCACAGAAATCAAGAAGTCTTTTTGCTCAAATACTCTGGGCTGGCTTGCTTTGAATAAAGAATAACAGTGCTTTGCTTTGGCAAAGAATAACAGTGGTAAGATTTCTGTTCTCCAGGTTTTCACATAGCTTAATGTCCTTACCTGCTTAGAAATTAATGTAGAATCTCTCTCTTTTGAATGTACAGATATGTTGCAGTCATTAAGAAAAGTTAGCGCTTCATCCAACTCCTTTAACAATCTTCCATACAATCCACTTTTGTCAGTATATGGTCCACAGTCTACAACAATCTCACATGGCTGAGAAGTATATCTTAATTGAGGGCAAAGATCAAGTTAAACACAGCTTCTGCAAGTCAGAGCTATTTCAGCCTGTTAAGGTTATACAGCAAATTACAACAGCAACAGGAAGTGTATTCAAGTACATTTCTTTCCCCAGAACGAATGAATAATGATTAATAGTTACAGACTTAAATACTCAAAATAAAAAAACCTCCACCACCCCAAATACTAAGTAATTTCATTCTAAATTACTGCTCTTTCTAATATACTCCCTAAAAAGAAGTTTAGTGTCACTATGTTAATTTCAAATACCAGAAAATTTAAGGCAAAGCAAATTGAATTTACTTGACCATCATCTTCACGTTTGGTTTTCCAAAGTGTACCATTTTGATATGCCATACAAATTACATCCACATAATGTAAATTTATGTCTCTGTATACACTTAAACAAGTTAATTAATTATTGTTCTTGAATGACAGAGCTGTAAGTGACAAATTCTTAAAAGCAAATGGTTCACCTAAGCTCAAAAAATGCATTTAAAAAACACACCCACGAAACACCTGTTCCAGAACATGAAATAACCATCTCTGACTTTGTCTGAAACTCAGGTCATACAACACGGTACAGCTGGGGCAAGTGCTACATATCAATCATTTCACACTAATTTTCTTCTAACATTCCCTCCTCACCTCAGATAGAATTACTGCCATCACACGCACGCAAACTTCCCTAAAGTTTCAGAGGAAGTATTTGTACTGTTTTCTCTATCCAAGGTGAAAACACAGGCATCAATTTAGCAGCCATAGCTGTACAACTTACCTGTCTAAGACCACCAAATCAGTTGCAGTTTCAGCATTGCTCTTTAAAATTCTCTCCAGTTTCTGGATCTTCTCCTCTAGCTCAGCAGGATCACATTTCCCATTTAAAATGGAAGCTGTTAATCCCAAGATCCGAGGACACGATGGATAATCCTCACAGATCTGTGAAGCAAAAGAGAAAGAAATACCTTAGAAAAGTTATCCTGCAAATCTACCTCCAAGCTGGCAGACTGCACACTTAGATGCGTGGTTGGAAAGTAGGATTTCAATAGCAGGTGCTGGAAAATGAACCAAACGTTGCATAATTATTTTCTTTTCTATTGACTGGAACTTAAATTAAAAATTGAATAATGTTTAACAGCTATCCTCTTTAAAGGTAAATATTTACAGTGTGGAAAAACACAAAGAAATAAACAGCATTTTGCAGAATATATATATATTTTTACCACGTAAAAACTAAAGGATCATCTAAAAAAAAAAAAAAGACTCACACTCTGGTTAAGCTTGAAGAGAGATCTGGAAAGACACCTATGGCACAGTGTATTGTATAACCCAAATACCACATGCAGCTAAGAATAACCCAAAAGAGCCCTACAAACATCTTTAGAAATCAGTATTTTAACAATAATAATAACTTATCAGTACATCCCATTTCCAAACTCAAATATTTTACCAGTGAATTTACAAAATTCCCCTAATTCCATGAGTTTAGCTTCTCTTCTCTGTTTATGCCAGATTTTTCTTTAATCCCCACTGTAAAATACAGTAAACACATTATTTTTCTATCTCATAATATCACTTAAGTTTTAATTCATTACAGTATTTTCACAATCCTAGAACATGCTAAAATATGGTTCTACTGATACTTCCCCTTGGTAGCAAAAGCTGACTTAAATGGTTCTCACTTCTCCATCCCTCTTATTCTACTCCTCCTCCTCAACCAAGTATGAAAACATTTGTGCAATGGAAACCCACCTTCATAATTTCGCGGTAAGGGTGATCCTGGATTGCAAGATGGCACTCATCGAACACCAGAAGATTAATATTTGACAGGGATAAATACTCATTCCTCAAAACAGTCAAAGCAACATGACATGTCATAACCAGAACCTGGATTGAAAGGAAAAATAGAAACACGTCAGTATAAGAAAAGTGCAAGCTTCTGAGCAAGCCTAACGTACTTTAGGCTCTGTTTTTATTTCCAGCTTATACTTAATACTTTACCTGATGCTTAGAGAATTCCTGACTCCACTTCTCTTTTGTCCACGATTCAGTTATCTCTAAACTTGAATACTCTCCCACTTTGAGATCTGAATGTGTCCTGACAGCTGACACTTGTTGAGCAACTTGATTTGCTTAAGAAAAAAAAATATTAAAAAACCTTAATCACATAAAACACTTGTCATACATTAATTTTCAAGATGTGTGTCTGATTACCTAGCACCATGTTTAATAAGCTGATCCTTAGCTTAGACTAATGTTAAACTAGGTGTACACAGCAACTGCCTCCATGTGAAACCACAGTAAGGAAACAGACTGGTAACTAAATTGCACTTCAGATTCTGTGTCTTAATTTTAAACCAGGAAACAGAAGATGTCATGAACAGGTCGTATTAAATGGATTATAAGCAAAAGATGAAAGGTGTCACATTCTTCAATCAGTTTAGCATCCCTGCTGTTGAAGACTTTATGCAAAAGTTTCTTCCAACTTTGCTTTCACACAACTTCTATTAAGGAATATTCCATGCACATATCAGCAGCGTGTTTAGGAACTCTAAGTATGTTTTTCCTCTTACCTGAGTTGACCAAGAACACAGTTCTTTTTCCATTTTTGTTGAAATCTCCCCTGATCTGATAGGACAGCTCTTTAGTGAGTAGTACTGCAATAAAAGTCTTCCCTGAGCCAGTGTTTAAGCAGACTATTGTATTATGATCCAAAGCTGCTTCAAGCAGTTCAACCTAGGTGTAAAAAAATAATAATGTCCTTACTTGGCAGCTATGCACTGACAAAGCTATAACAAATAACACAAGTGGTAAATAAACTACGGACAAGTCAGTAGAGATCTTTCCAGTGCCAGTGAATGGACTCCTCTCTTTCAAAACAATGTATTGCCACAGTATTTCATATACTCTAAATCTAAAATCCTTTCGTATCACAATTTGCTGCAATTTTAAGTAGCTTTCTATCTTTTTGACACATGATTCTGTTGCTAGATACACTGTGTGAAGAAAGAAACCAGAGATTTGAAATGTATCTGTATACATCAATTCAGCCAAATTAGCAAGTATATTCGCTCAAGGTGACCTAAGCTTTTCAGTAAGATCAACCAAATGCTGGCTTTTGGGCACCTCTGCAGTGCAAAGAGAACCAAAATTCTAGAACTCAGAAACAGCTTTCCTTAACAAAAGGAAAAGCAGAGTGCCCTGATGGCGTTTTCTGACATTACTGAGCTGCTTTGACCGGTATGTGAACCAAAAATCAAGATTTAACATGTATAAGACAGAAGGTCAGAGAGGGAAAGGGGAAAGAGACACTACTGTATACATACAATGGAGATGCACAGTGTAACGTTTATTGGATTTGCTCCTAACAGCATTTTGCAGAGAGCAGCAAGAGAAGACTCAGAAGTTGTTCTGCTCGTTAGAGCAAAGGGAGAAGAGGGACTGGGGGTATTACCAATGTAGAACACAGCCAAGCTGAAGAGCAAATCCACAATTAACTCCCAACAGGTGGAGCTGCGAGAGAGCTATGCCTACACCGTGTGCACTGCTGCACGCTCTCCAGCTGCTCTGGTTCCTCTTCTTCTTAAGTTAACGGATATAATTGTACTTTTTTCTGACATTACTGCATTAGCATTATCAAGGGTACCTGATATTTTCTTGGCGTATAAATGTTATCATGAATTGCTTCTTGTTGCCATGGTAGTCCAAAAAATGGACCCATTGGGGAGGAAGCAGGGGTCATGAGCTGCAGTCCCGCCATGCTGAGGGATTGCAAAGCAGGGCTTCTCATTCATTCATCCAGTGTTTCTTTCATTGCATTTTTGTTCCAGCACAGCCTACTATGAGAAGAAAAAGAAACAGTATTAGATACAGTCACACTATAAAGCAAGAAGAGAAAATTTACTCTAAGGACATTACTCGATTTTCCTTCCAGTATATGCTAAGTCTCATACAATTTTCAGCTGAAAATGTTAATTTTAAGTTTACAGGCACTTTTGCACCTCAAGATGAGTGTGTATCAAAGTATCAAAGAAATTCAAAAGGAAAAGTAATTTATGGGGCAAAGCTTATTCTAGGCATTTGGATTTGCACTCACACATTTCAGAATAAAATCCCACTTATGTTCTGACAGAATCCCTTTTAAAGTATCTTTAAGAACAAATTTTTTAGAATAAAGCTGGTTGAGCTTTACTTCAGAAAAAAAGAAAGACTGATCTTCTAGAGCACAGGCATAAACACCACATTTTCCATTTCTCTTTCCAATCCAAAAAAGAGTCCCTACGACCCATCAAAGCTTTACATACACACATGCAACAGGAACTTTATTCTAATCAGTGGAAAAAGAGCAGGAACTACACAAGAACCTCAGCATTTTCAAATCAGAAGAGTCTGATAAGGTTATCTGCTTAAGGAATTGGCAGAGTTATTATAACTAACTGCTGATGACTCTGACAAGGACTAACGGAGAAAAGGAGCCTTATCGGGGTAACAAACAATTTTCAGAAAGATATTCTAATTGACAAAAACCCAACCATTCACAGCTTAATGGAAAGCACTTTCCTGCTAAGGCTATGAAGTTGTCATTACTGGAGGTTTTAAGAAATGTTCCCTACCTGCCAGAAAGTATCAAAGGAAAAACAAAACAAAACAAAAAAAACCAAACCAAACACCCCAAAGCATCACTTCTGCCTTGCCCACAGAAGCTGATTAACACCTGATGATACAGAAAAATATTGCTTAAGTATAATATGAACATACTGCATCAAAATCTAAGCAATTTTAAATACTTTCCCCCTTCAGATCAGATAGCTATCATATTTGACACAGTATTTCCAAAAGTTCATTTTCCTCAAAATTCTTAGAAGCTCTACACTCATTTTAGCATCCAACTCAAAAGGAGAAATGCACAAAACTGACAATGCTCTCAAATATAAACATTAATTAGAAATACATGAGGACCAGCTAATTATCATCTTATTGCTTAGACGTGTCCTTGCTTTTCTATGTAACAGGAAAGTTGTTGAAATTTTGCAAATGTGCAGTAGGGAAAAAAACCAGAGACAAGTATAATACAGCATTTAAATAAAATATTAACCACTCATGGTTATGAGAAACCACTGCTTTGAGAGATTACAAATAAAGTAGTGCAATTTAAATCAAAAACAATATTCATTTAGTTCTGTACCAAGATGAAATTGTATTTACCATCTGATTGTACCATACTGATTTTTTTTCTAGTTGCTTTTGAATGAATCTCCAAACTCATGCAAATCTTCTCATTTATTTTTCAGTCCTGCAACCTAAGCTACCGTTTCAGGCTGAGTCTTTCAGATTATCTAAACAGATAAAATGGATCAAATATGATACTGCTTTATTTAGCTGCAAATAGAAAACACCACAGTCTACACACATCATAAAATCAGTAACACATCATTATTCATCTCAGTTATAATGCAAAGAGACTCCTGTAGAATTTTAAATTGTTTTTATACATTTCAAACAATCCCTACGAGCACATGCAGGCTCTGGTCTAACTGAACTGGTAACTTCATAGAGCGCTCAAATGCAGCACAAATAAAAGATGGTTTGGTTCAATCCCCCTTTGGAGCAAGTGGCTTCATGGCTCTTCCTCTACTGGGACTCCACAGCTCTGGACAACCAGCAGGAAAATGAGTAGGTGCCACACAGATGAACGTAGCAAAGATCATAATCCTTGGCCTTCTGATCTGTTTGTACAGCAAATGTTCTGCTGTCAATGAGGGTGTCACTGATCAAATTAAATCACTCACACAGCAAGGACAGCAGTGATATGCAAACCTCCCTAGCCACTGGTAGAAAGCATCTGGAAACTGGGCACTGCTAACGTAAGTCAAGTTTTTGTATGAGCTGACAGCTTAGGTGGATGAGAGCAGGGAGAAAACACAGAAGAACACAGAAGTCTTTATCATGACTACAATATTTCATTTAAATGATCTCAGGTATGCTCCTCTACTTAAATATGGCAACTGATGTGGAAGAACAGTTAGTGTTTGCCTTGTTTAAAATGAGACCTGGTCACAGTCCTATCATCACTGCTCAAGGCTGGAAGGGACCAGGTAAAAAACCCAAATCTTTTGCATAACAAAAGATAAGGCTGATTCCCCTTATCTAAGCCCAGCCACTTCACTTTTGTAAATCACTTTAGATCAGCAGTGCCTCCTCTTTCTTTCCTATTCCACCTATTTTGTGTTTCTTTTCCAAATCATAACTACAACTTCAGAAACATATAAAATAGCTACATGACATCTCCAGTAGGGAATAAAGGGAAGAAAACCAACCTTATTTGAGAAGGCTGCTAATGAAAAACAAGCATAGGATCTAATATTTACAAATATGTGTATCTCCTTTGCTGCACACCTCACGACAGTGATACCAGGTTAGCTACCCCACTGCAAGAAGCAAGGGGATCCATACTTACACACGGTTCCAGCTTGATCTGGAAAAGCTGTGAGACAACATACACGCTGAACTACAATTCTGGTGTCTGTGTATCCTCATGAAAGAGGACAGAGTACAATCATTTCCTCGAGATCAAAAACCATTCTCAGAAAAACCCTTTGAAGTGCAAAGGAAGAAGTACACCCACATTTGTAACTTGAAAAGGACACACAAGCAAAACAGCATTGCCTGCCCACCTTAACCATACCATTATTACCCTGAAATCTGACAAAAAAGAGGAGAATTTTGCTATGATAAACTGCCCAATTAACCAGCAAAATAACAGAGTTAGCTCACAGGAGGTAGAACACAATAGCTTAAATGCCCTTCGCTGTATGCTAACTCGGGTAGAACAACAAAGTTCTCCTCCCTAAACCACCAATCCTAATTCTGCTATGCTAAAGTGTCCTAGTCCTGGCCTTTATTTGAATTATTTGTACTGGAAGTATAAAAGATCTGACAAGATCAACCTCAACGTTATTATGGGAGTAAGCCAGAATAATGAAGTAATTGTATCATTCCAAGTCTCTATTTCAAAGCAAGGAAAAATATAAAGTTGTTCAATAAAGGAAAAACAGTACAGGACCATCTAGAAATAAAAGGGGTTAACGTATCTACTTGAAGAACAAGTTTAAAATTGAAAACATTTGAGATCTAAGTACACGTGTTCAGAGTTTGTGGACAGAAGTCAACTAAACCCAGCCAATGGAAAGTGTCTGGCAGGGAAGCTGAAAAAAACGAGTGAGTCCTGCTCAGCCAGTGCGAGTAACAGAGATACCTGCTGAGATGTGCCATTTTTATCCACTGGATTACTCTAAAAATTAATAGGTCAAATCATAAGAACTTGCTGAAGCCAAATCTGGAGGGAGAAACACAGGGAACAAGTCCTGCTGCCTGCAGCTTTAGCCCAGGCTACAGAAACTGGACAATGCAGCACAGTGCCCAAGCTTATCTGTACTCCTAAAACAATCCCAAAAGGTGCAGTTTTAAGGCCATTAATCTCGACAGTTTTAAGAGCAAAACCCACAATTTGATGTCCTTTATTTAATGCACATTTACGTGAACAGAGAGTGAAGTGCAGAGCTAGAAGTAACTCCTAGCACAAAAAGAACTTTATTTCAGAAGGGCACGAGGTTGGAAATGAAGAGCAAGCGACACATAGCAGTTTCTTCCAGCCTACAGTAATTCTGCAGTGATTCTTTACCACTATTTACATGCACAGTATGTGATATGTTCATACCACACTAATGCAAAATTACAAATACCTCCTCTGAACAACAAAGCACTACTGCCACGTGCAATGTATTTTATCTGCTTTCTCCACCAACGCTGATTTGTAAATTTGTACCCAATATAATCCTTGTGATACAGAAGTTATTTCTAATGCTGTAGGTTTTCATCTTTGCCCAGCAGTGTCTAACTTCCCCTTTAAAATCATGCTCAGCATCAGACAAAAAAAAAAAAGTTAGTCTTAAGGAGTGGGGAAGAAAAAATCCACTTACTCTAAAATAAATAAACCACAATCTATGCAAAAAAATCTTAATAAAATTTTGCTGCCTGAATATTCTTTTACACAAACACCTAAAGAGTCTGAATAGCATATTCTTTATATGTCCAAATGCAACAGGAAACTTGCTGAAAGATCTAACACAGAAAATTCTTACTTGGGTAATGGGGGTGGGGAGAAGGAAAACCATAAAATACTACAAATAAAAAATACAGAGCAGAAAATAAATATAAAATGTTAACTTACAAGATGTAAAATAGTCACTGAAGACGTTTCATTCCAACTACTGCAGAAGGCTGCACAAAGTGACTTCTACTTACACTAGAAACATTCAGTGGCAAGAACTGTTTTTGCCCAAGCAAAGGTCAATACAGAAGATTCCTACTTCGTCTGGTTTCTAAACGTGTTTCTAAAAGTACACTTTTGGAAAGGATTTGACTTCTCCTGTGATAGTCCAAAAGCGTTACAAAACTGTATTCTGTGAGCATTACTCCTCTAACTTCAGCTCTCTTAGAGACCTTAAAAAACCCACATAAACACACCCAGCTTTTATGTGGGGGAAACAAAAAAGTCCCAAAACTCAAACACCTCAGAAACAAGTGAAAAAGTTTAATTTCCATAGAAAAAAGGTTTTTTTCCCCTTTATTCAACAACTGACATCTAGGATATTTTGAAAATGAAGCATTGATATTTCTGCTCCCAAATCAAAATTCAAAGTTTCTAAACAACATCATTCAGCTCAGAAGGTCTGAAGTAAGGAAATCCTGTCAAACAATACTATTCAAGATGAATCAGAAAGCTCTTTTATATTATAACATACAACACAGCCGCACAAGACACTCTTACCTGCTGTCCTTCAAGGACCTTCACTACAACCATTACCTAATAGCAGTTTTTCTATACGGTCTTATAATATTCTTAAAAGGGGAAAAAATTATTTATATTCCATATAAATCCTTTCAAGGATTTATTTACTTCCTTTCAAGAAGTGCAAACAGAATGCATAAGTGCTTACAAAGCTCAAATGTAAGCATTCCAGTAAGATCCAAGTTCCCTGGGTTTCCTAGCACAGTCACCCATATTCATTGTGAATGCTCATCTTGAACTGAACATATTTATTTATTTATTCTATTTTTCTGATACAAAACCAGTGTAACAGCACAAGCAGGACTTCCGTCTCCAATAGCATACCACGATGTACCAAAGCAGCAAAGGCTGCTTTCTGCTGTTCAGAAGGGTTTCATTAAAGAGCTTATTACATGAAGATTACGTTGAGGCTCTACATTTGAATGAGCTGCTTCTGAAGCATTTCTACAAGCAATGCAGCATGGTGAACTGCTGGAATTCCTGGCAGACTGCTCCTAAACATCTGTCTATCGGAGAGAAATGGAGTCCAACCTGACACTCAGCAGGCTCAGAAAAACACACAACCCCTTAAGTCCTTCATCTCATGTGCAGACACCACCATGAGCAAACCTGGATTTGAGGCAAAAGCCTAATAAACACTTTCTGTTGCAATTATTCTGTGTCCACAGAGCCAGCAAGACACGGTTCACACCAACAGTTATGCTGCTGGACACTGTAACAGGCTCTAAAGCAAAAGGATTCTATCACTATGTATCAGCACAACACACACGGGTTTTAGGGTATTTACCAGTACAGAGATAAAACGGGAAAACAAAAATCTGTTTTCTTGCGTATCTATAGTGACACCAGTGCATGAAGCATTCAGAATAAAAGTTCAGAAAGGGGATGTTTCTCCTACAACAAATGCAGACATGCAGTCAGAATCTGGAATAAACTCTTTATGTTTTAGAATGTGCATAAGGCCCTGTGCACCAGCCCTAACCATGGAGTTGTTTAAGCAGTGGTGTGGAACTGGTGCGATGCAGATTCCTCTTCTTTTACCTCCTGAACACAGAGAACAAGGGATAAAACGTGAAGTGGATGGCACCTAGGATGCAAGGCAAGGTGCGGACCAGTGAAACCAGGCACATTTAAGTTATCAAACCACATATCAACTTTTCCTCTACACAGCTTTAATCAGATAGCCTCTTTTCCTGTTTCTGCTGAACTCATAATTGAAACCGCAGCATTCTGCTGAGACTAAGACCTGACATTTACTTTCCTTACCACTTACTTTGTATCTCCTATCTGGAACAATACATAAATTCAATTCTATTTCCAACTCTTCCTATCTCCCCTCTTTCTGATTTTTTTTAATCCATCATATTTCACCAACACAACCACATTTGAATATAAAACCCACAAGAATTATTTAAACTCACACACAGCCTTTTCAAAAACTGAATAAACTTATAATCATATTCAGCTTCATAAGAAATATCAAAGTGTGTATTTCACGACAAACACCTTTTTTGTCTATGCCATTGCTGTATCTAAACGTTTAGGGATAAAATAAAGCAGCCACTTTCATCAGTCTTTGTAAAGAGTGACAGTAAAATGTCCATAACCTCACACATGGAAATTACTTTACTCTCTGGTCCTGAAGAAGCTTTATATGTAAACCAGAAGAACACAGTGAAGTGATACACAAAAACCTGTTTCTCCCATACTACAAAGTGTAGTCTTACCGTTTTAATTTCCGCAGTCTCTGTGTTTACGCTTCCCGAACTGCATTTGGACATCATGATATCAGCTTGTAGATTAATCACATAATTTGCAAGCTTCGGCTCTTAAAAACAAAAACAAAATCTTTGAACTGTAGAAATGGTTTGAAAAGAGAACTACAATAGCAGAGTCAATTGTAGCAATTCGGTTGCTTATAAACATTTAAATGTGTCAACCATACACTGTAACTTGCTGACAGAAAATGAAATATTAAAGTCCATCCTGAACATGAATTATTTTAGTTTAATATTAGAAACAATAAAAGAATGATTTTAAAGATAATCTATGGTAGTTTAAATGTGCAAGTAAACTGTACTTCCCTAACCCGATTTAACAGGTTGCTATGGTTAATAACTGCTTCATGTGAGAAAGAGTAGCAGCACGTCCTACATAGTGAAATTATGTTCTGTACCACTGTACTGCTTTTTCCATGCATATGTATTTTCATTTCACTTCTATTAAGTGTTATAAAAAAAATTATATCGGCATTCAAATACCTGCAAAGCATTTCAATTTGAACCCACAACAACCATTTCTTCCTAAGTACCTTAATGCATAGGTTCTTTAATAAAAGTAAAAAATATTGTGCAATTCAGAGAGTGATTTCCATAAAAAAACCATTTAGCTACAGAAGTAAAATGAGGACAGTCACTCATGACAAAGAGTTTCAGATACAGTAGCCATTCTATAAAACTACAACTTCAAACAAAAATACTTTATCGAAGCAGATCTATAATGTTCTCAAAACTCTAAAATAAAGAAATACATCATACATTCATCTAAAGTATGAGTTTTCCCAGACCTATTTTTTTTTTAAATCAATACTGAAAACTTAAATGCAAAATGGATCTTGATGAAAATTTCTACTCCGATCAGTTCCATAAAGCTAACAGGGACACTCCCAAGATTACTTCAGTATGTTCGTTTTTACCTCAAATGCTGATGCTGAGCTTTTCCAGAGTCTCCAAGCCTGTAATTTTGTTTCACCCTAGGTAACCTAAAAGGCAATATAAAAAGAGAGCATTTTAACATGAACTGCCATAAAAATCAATCGTGCCATGTGGTAGTCTGCTTTCTTGCATTTTAATATTTAGCTCTGTAGCAACAGCACATGGTCCTTCAAAATCTAATTATCATACGTCCTTTTCTGGCTGGGGATACAGACAGTCAGTGTCTGAAAGATCAGCCTTGGAGTGCTCAGGAGATATTTGCATATTCTGTTTTATCTGCTAAAGTAACTGCTAGCCCAGTCCAACTAGATTTACAGATTTCCTCCCCTGTGCTCCCTCCACACATTTCACCTAACACAGAAACAAAGCCTTGAAGATACTTCTCATACGACACATTTAAAAAAAAAAACCAACAACTTAAAAGAATGTATGTGTTTCGAGAAAACAAAATAAACATTCACTGTTTTATTTTTCAACAAGAACGTGTAGGAAGTGCAGCACAGAAAATTTGATGAGTGCTGTGTTCATGTACGATAGACCTACAAAATGTTATTCCCCAAATCCGTGTTTGCACCATACACACATCCTTTTTTTCTGCACAAAATACAGCAAATTGCTGCTAAAACGCGGCGAGTAGGACTTCAGTTTCTGATAACACGTCTAGGTTATTCATTTATTCACCGCCTCTAACACATGAGCCAGAATGTGTATTCCACTGAACCAGAAAATAGCCTAACAGAAAACTGTCACATTCCCGGTAAAAATACAGACACATACTCCACTTTACATTTCAAGACAAGCAGAAAGGAACAATAAAGCAGTTAGTTAGCCCGCTATATAAGAAACATGAATGGAAAAAAAAGGTTCAACTGTGTCACTAAAGCTAATTCCAAAGACAGCTTCAAACAGCAAATTGACTTTATTCCCTAATCATAGATAGCAAACAAAAAGCACACGGATCAGCAGGTAAGATCTGAGAGAACCACAAAAAAAAATATATATACATATAATTCTCCACCAAGCCCAAGAGTTCCCTTTGGCACATCAAAGCCGTAAAAGAGGAGATTGCAGCTTTAATGGACTGGCAGCCATGAATTACAGTAGGCCCTTTTAATGCAGAAGCCAACATGAAACCAGACGGGGCGCATTCCTGAGATGCAGTCAAGTTCTAGTACAAAACAGGAGGTTATAATATCCATTAGCATCTCAATGGCCCTGGTGCACCCACGCAGACAAAAGCCTGTTGCGGTGCACGGCCGAGCCTTTCCTCCGCTGGCCAAAGGCATCTGCAGCTCCCAGCGATCCCCGCCACACAATGGGCACAGCCAGGGGTTAGCACAGCCCCAGGCCGTGACAGCACCAACCCCTCCGGCACTGCGTAACTGCAGTCCCATTGGGCAAATTATTTTTTTTTTACCAGTGTATCTCATTTTACTCTACAGTGACTGAGGATTTTGTGTTTTTTAATCAGCGTCTTTCATTTTACTCTACAGTGACTGAGGATTTTGTTAAGAGAGAGCAAAAGTGACAAAAAATAAAAACTAATGACACTGTTACTACTAAAAATTAGATTTCCATAACGTCTTCTATTGAACAGTAATGCCAACATTCACATATTTGATGCAAAGGTAGAAGCTGAGAGTTCCAAGATAAGAAGCCATTTGGAGCATCTAATGAAACACACCACAAACACATCAAATACTCAAAGATTAAAGCAGCAACGTGAAAAAAATCAGCTCCTATAAAGACATCAAGAAAAGCATCCAAGAAGTGACACAGCAGACCCTCCTGCAAATCTCCAGCGCTCTAGAAATCTGCAAGCAGCCACTGGTTACTTCTGCAAATCTCAGCCAAGATCTTCAAATACCTCGGCCCTTTGCTACTACTTCAACATTTGCTAATACAAAAGCCAAGTATGCAAATATAGCAAAGAGCAAACAGAAGAATACATCAACAGGTTTTATTTTAACTTCCTGATTTGGAAATATTCAGTATTTGAAAATAATGATGTTAAATAAAGATTGCCAGAAAAAGGAGGACTGAAATTTCGGAAGTAAAAGACCTACTGCCACACTACAGGCGACAGCCTGAACCTGATACAGATCGTCAACGCTCGTGCTCTTCAACATCTTCTACAGTTTGAAATTAAACAACTATTCCCTCCATCCCAACAATGATGTCAATACTTAATTAAACCATTGTTCAAACTATTAACAGCTTGAAAAGAAGTCCTTATCTTCATAGATCAAGAAGATCTGTGCAATTGGACTCTTAAGTGCACAACAAAGCTGTGATGAAGTGAATTATCTTTATGCAAATACAAACGAATTCCAGTGTGAGTCCTACAACATCAGAGGGGTAAGGTAAAAACTCCCACTATAAACGGGAGGAAAAGGTCTGTCTGGGCTGGCATCCTGCCCTTCTATAATTACAGCTGGTCACAGATGCTGGGAGAGAGAAGGGGTGACTGTAAAACAAGCCTCATCCTTCTCTTCCATGTGTTATTCCAGTGACCTTATATTTCAAGTATTTCTCTTTGGTTTATTATGGCACAAACAATAAAGTTAGGCACAAACCACAGTACAAATTCCCTGCTGCCTCAGATTAACTCTGAAACAAAATACTCTGAGCATCCAAGGAACTAAGCCTTCTCCATGGAAGTCATGAAAAAAAAATACACTCAGGACTCTACATTAAAAACCCCTGAGCTCTATGAACACTCTGAAACACACTTAATAGATTTAACAGCAATTAGAATTATTTCATGTAATAATTAACTAGTTTGTGGGTTTTTTTCCAAGCTGCTGCTTGAAAAATAACAGCTAAATGTATAGATATTATTATATCGGTATCACAAGAAGGGATAACTGACCACATCCATGAATTTATTTATTATTTGGTCCTTTACTCGGGTACCAAATTATTTACTTGTGATTATTTAGCTTATTTAAAGGTAGTGTTCAAGCCTTTGGACAGGAAGGCAATTAAGCAGACATTAGGACAGGGACTTCTCTCTCCCCCCATCTGGGGGCAAGCTGTGAGGCCAGTACAGTTCCAAAGCACCAATTATTCTTGCTTATGATAAGTAAAAGCAGCAGCTGCCCCCTGAATATAACCCCATGTGGGGATTTCAATCCCATTATTTGCATAAACATAAATCCTTTCTCTCCATGGGGCAAAAAGTCAAGCTCCCCAAAACATGTGTGTTCGACAGCTTTCTGCTATCTCTGTGCCAGAACATCCAAAATTACTGAGTCCTACATTACAAAAGGCTTTCTCTGAAGCCATTAATTGTGTGATGCAAAAACCTGCAGATATTTGGAGTTTAAGACACTCTCTAGAATTTCCACCAAGTCTAAAATGGAGAACTCAGATCTCCTGCAGTTGGTCATAGTATCAATTTAATGCATAACCCAACAGTAAGTGCACACATAACAGGCTTCATTGCAAAAAAGAATTTATTATTAACAGCACATCAAACTAACTCATCCTAATGCAACCTTAAAATACAGAAGTATTATGTACTGGATAGCATACGATGTACTCCAATTACATTTTGGCCTTTGTAGTTTTTAATCTGTTCTCCTAAAAAAGGAAAGGTTTCTCACCAGTTACACTGTATGCCTGCACACCTTCTTTCCCTGCAGTGAACCTGCACTTACACTACTGGAATTTTATGTCAAGCTGGGATGAAGTCAATATTAAGTTCATAAAAATACGTAGTATAGAGACTCTGTTTTCACTCCCAAATTCAGAGGACATTCAAAGCTGCTCAGATGCCACAGAATCCAATCTCCAGAGAGAGAATACCAGAGGGGAAAAAAAAACAAACCACAAAACCCACACTTCATTGACTCTTTCATTTTATTGAAGAAAAAAAACCTGAATCATTGGTAAGACATTTCCCTAGGCCCACTGATTTTTTTTTTGAGTATGTAAGAATGTCTAGAGGTGCAGATGAAATGTGGAATACAAACTGTTGTAAGGTCTCCCACACAAGACGTGAAGAAAAGCATTTCCCATGTTATGAATGCAAGGGAAGAATACACGTGCCTGGTTGTAAAGTGATCTGACCGAATTCCAAAATGGAAAAGCTCATTAGAAAAGGAAATTCTTTGCATCTTAATCTACATATCTGGCTAACCAACTCACTGTGCAGCCCAGCCAGAAAAGGCTTTTATGTTGAGCCATCTCTTGTTTTAAGAGCTGAGAATCAACGAGTGTTAATTACCTGTGTGATGATAATCTTAAACCAGAAGTGCAGTGCATTCTGCAGCGCTAATGGAACAACGCTAAAAAACTTTATGTGCCATGAAGCACTTTACAGATTCCAGGCATTTTGAATTTTCTAGTCATCAAAATTAACTTAACAGTAGTAATTAATACTTTCTATTTCAGTTAGACTAAAAAGAACTGCAATCTTTAAGGCAGAGGACTTTATATCCTACTGAAGCATTAGGTCTCAGCACAGAAGCAGCTACTTCGATCACACGTATGTAGTCAAATACAACGAAAATTTTAAAAAGCTACAGCATTTCAGATACTGTTATCCCCCCCATGTAAATATATGCATTTAGAATAGAACATGATCATTCCTTTACATTCTTTACAGTCAAACATAAAATAATATCAGCAGGTCGTAACAGTTTTTATTTCTTTTCATGTACCAATCTTCACTTCTCAATATCATCCAATAAAGCACACAGATTTACATACTGCCTGGGCTTCCAAACTGGTGAGAAGCCATAAATATTACATTTTACCACTATAAGGCTAGAAGCCTCATGTAGTATTTTCATATCACAGGTTATGTACAGCACTATTGACCTTCAAGAACAGTGGATATGATACTGAAACTGATTCAGATATATTCAAGAATTTACTTGAGGTAAAGGTAGCGAAGGGGAGGCTGAAGCCCTTATCTGAGATAAAGCGGTAAAAAATAACAGCATGTGATGAGACATACGTGCTTTGCGTATTCTCAGTCCTGAAATTTAGGTAAGAAAAACCAGAACCGTTTGCAAAGATTTGAGGACTTTTCGTTTGCAA